GTGAATGGATAAGTCTAGTTCAGAAATGAAAGTTATTAATTTCTTTTAAATATTTATTATGTGTCAAATATGAAGAATAATACTTTTAGCCATAGATAGTTATTCGAAATTTGATTATGAAATTTATATAAAAGATAAATATTTTTTTATTAGAAGTAACATAAATCATCTAATTGCTCAAATAGAGATATTAAAGAATAGATTATTTATCTTAACCATTAATCATGATGTAAGATAGTGTTTAAAGACTTGTAGGAAGGACTCCTCGTGGCATTTGAGGCTAAGATGTTGAACTTCAAAGATCTCAAGATGCTATCAACAAAGAAAATGATAGATAGGCTTCCCTATATATAACACCCATGTCAAATATGTGACGAGTGCCTTATGACCAAACAATCAAAAAGTTTTCAAATAAGACAAATTTTAGACCCAATAAGTCACTTCAACTTATTCACACTACTGTTTATAGTCCTAATGTTACAACATCTTTTGGTAAACATCATTATATTTAACTTTTATTAATGATTATACAAGAAAATCCTAGATTTATTTCTTGAAAAAAAAGGGAAAGTGTTTAATTTGCTCAAGTAGCTCAAAACTTTTATTAAGAATGAAAACAACTCTCAACATGTTGAGAAACATGCTTAAGACAAAAAAATATGCTTAAAGAATTTTGATCAAAGTAGTGGCATGTGTAATTTACATGGTGTCCTACATTGAGCTTAGAGAATAAAAATTCGCTAGAGCTATTGACCGAAAGAAAATTGAGTATCTCACATTTTAAGATATTCGGGTGCATTGATTATGCACATGTATTTAATCAAAAAAGAACCATATTGGAGGACAAGAGCTTCAAAGGCCTACAAATTATTTGATCATAATAATTCTAATAGTGGTATAAGTAGGGATGTGAAGTTCAACGAAGAAGGTATATATAATTGAAAGAAAATCATTGAGGAGTTTGCTTCACCGTCTTCATTATCATTATTGCAAACATCTTTTACTTCTATATAATAACCTTTAAAAGATAGTCCAGTACCTTAAAGGACAATAAGTCTAAGAGATTTATATGAAGTAACAGATGAAGTAAACACATACTTGCTAAATGAATTTTACACTACATCAAAGGTACCATAACTCATGATCTACTATATTTATTTTTTAATTATTTTGATTTGTTAGTTTTTTAGATAGTGATTGAAAAGGAGCTCTAGAAGATAAAAAAAAGTATAACTGGCTTTGTTTTTATATGGGCAATATCATTTTTACTTGATATTCAAAGAAGTAATCAATTGTAGCTTAATAAGTGGAATATATAACAACATTATCATGTAATGCTATGCTATATGGCTAAGTAAGCTCTTGAATGAAGTCAATTATTCACAAGATCAAGCTACAAAGATAAATGTTGATAATAAATCTATTGACCAAGAACTCAATCTTCCATGAACAAAATAAGCATATTGATATTTATTATCATTTCATTTGAGATCAAATCAAGGAGAAAGAAGTTTAATTGGACTACGTCAAATCTGATGATCAAGTTACAAATATTTTTACTAAGCCCCTTAATTCAGAATTTTTTTCAAGATGAAGATATCACTTGAAGTGTGTGATAAAGATAAATTAAGTTTAACGGTGTGCTAAGAAAATTAAACTTAATTATAAAAAAGAATTGAAATCTTTCTCATGATCACATGAGTGAAAACAATTATAACCTATATAATTTAACGAGGTTATGAAAATAATAAACCACTAGTAAATTAGATAAGTTGTATACAATAAAAAATATATAAATATAATCTTAAAAATTGAGTCTTTGTAACTCTCATCTATGACCCCAAAACTAGATGAGCCCTGTCATGATAGAGTATAAAAAAGTGAGAAAAAATAGAAAAAAACATATCTACAATAAATAAAAATTTTAATTTATCTCTTGTTTCATCTCTCAATTCTTCCTCTCTAACTCTCTGTATCTCATCTTTTCTTTTTCTCCATCATCCTCCTCGATCGAAGAACCTAACGTTTGAACCCCTGTTTCCAGATGGGATTATTCCCCTTTTGTTGCGAAAAATGTATTTTTTTTCTCCTCTTTTCTTGAAAAGATTTCTCTTTCCCCCTGTAGAATTCAACCGATGCAACTTGAGATGTTGCAGATTTGATTGAGACATCCTTGGCTTGCATTGCATCTGATTCAGAAATTTGAGGAAGAAATGACAAATGGATCAAAGAGGACGACGCTTAGATCCATTGCCCCGTTGCCAGATCATGTTTAATCTCTTCTGGCATTCGGATTCTGTGTTCACAAGGCAATCGGTTGTAAAGGGGTCGAGGACAAAGCTGATAGCATCCATCGGTTTATGTGGTTGTCTCAAATCTAATTGTTTTCTTGAATTCCACATGTATGGCCCCAATTTTCTGGGTCGATCATGCGGATCTTTTGAATCCTCTTGAGGCCCCAATTCAACTCAACTGAGGGACAAAAACACCTTTTCCCCATTGTTTCCGATAGAGTTCAGTCGAATTCTCCTTCTTCTTCTTCTTCTTCTTCTTCATATTCCGGAGTATTCTCGAATGGTGGTGAATGTAAATATATTTTGCTTCATCTTCTCTGCTAGATTTCACTGTATCCATAGCTTCAGTAACTTATTACATGTTCCCAACTTTAGAAGCCGACATTACCACATCACTCGATGCTGCTTCATCTTCCTTCAAATCGCCAAGTGTCCTATAAATGAAAGCCCATGATTCACAAGTATGTATGTCCTTTCTCTCCTCGTGCCTCGACTATAAGAATATGCCATTAAAACTATCTACCTTCTTCGATGTTTTGTTCTTCATCAAGTATCTACAATTTACTTTTATCTTTGGTGAACAGATATGTATTGCTATACCTTTCTCTGTTGGTTTGCTAGTCCGGGATTGGATTTGGTTCTGCGATCATGCAGCAAGTGGAGTATGAGGAACACATGCTGTAACTATTGCCACCAATAATTGACATGTCGTATTACTTGCGTGCGAGTCATAAATTTTATGTGTCTTTTCCATGCCTGATCTAACACTAGGGTTTCTGTGATTGTCATTAAGTTCCCCAATGATGACTTCTGTGACCCCTTTTTTATCCTAGGATCGAATCCTAAAGATGCCTAACCTAAGGATCTAACTTGGTTTTTCGTGGCCTAGCAATTCTAGAAAGTGAATGTGAAGCATTCCAATCACTAAACCTTGCATCTCCTTTTTGCTTGTGATGAAGAGGTACTTCGTTGGCACCCTCATCCATCGCAAGCACAAAGTCCGATGCCTCATTCAAGTTATCGGAACACCTGAAGCGATAGATCTCATGTGTTTCCTGTTCCAAGGACCCAGTGCTATTCATCTACAGGTTGTCCAATTTATCGCAGCTGGTACAGGACAATGAAACCGGTCGAAGAGTACTAGAGCTACAGTGTCACCGCATTGCATCTCGTTTCAGCCTTTTAGGATATGCTAAACAGTGACTTCAGCCTTTCTCTGAGGACAACCAAGTGCGTTGTTCCTTTATGGAGAGCGAAGAGAGAGTCACCAGCTTGGCAGGGACGAGCAAAGGCTCTCCCATATGGGATGCAAGGACAAGAGCTCTCATGTCCTCTTCCAATCATGATACGTGACAAAAGCCAGCATCGCTTTCTGCATGGAGGCCAAAGCGGCAATCAGGCCTGCATACTGTTACAAGTTTCACCATTTCCAACCCACCACTGTGGGCGCATTGTGGGGGTTAAGCGATGACTAGTGTGTGAGGTAATCGCCTTGCCTCGGAGTTCCACACTGTGGATGTCGAGGGCAAGGAGACGGCTGCCCTGGGAGAGGTTTCACCGTTTTCCAATCATCGACCACTGCAGAAACGGTGGGTTGCATGGATGGTGGGGGGTGGGCGAAGACAAGGGCGGGAGGTAATCGCTTATCCCCAAGGTTTCATGTTGTGGATGAGACTGAATTGGTGGCTGAGGACAAGGAGGGGGGGGGGGGCACATGGTAAGAAACTTGGGGATCGGGGACAGGGAGGCTCTTTTGTTTTCTAACCCCTTTCTTTGCTCCTTCCCTTGTCCCGGCACTCCGGTCATCTTCCTCGTCCACTTCCCCTCACAAAGATACCACTTCACTTCACTGCACCGCCTTCTCGTCCACTCACCCGTGCTCTTTTGTCACCATTCATTCATTCATTCTTCTCTCTCTCTCTCTCTCTCTCCCTCTCTGGCGTCGTGGTTCTCGTGGAGAGGAGGGAGGGAGGATGTAAAAAAGTCGTGCCTTTTGTCAAACCGAGGAAAAGATGTTTAGGACTAATGTGGCAAAAAGATCCGCAATAATCAAACATGTGATTCGGTCGGATGATGTTAATCATATTACCACGACGCTGTTGGTCGCTTCCATGTACTACTTTGGCTGGTTTTGTCTTCGTTGGGATAGCTGTTAAATCAACAATTCCAGCACACCATACTGTTTTTTCTTTTGTTTGAATTAAGGTGGACCTTCTGCTGCCTGCCACAGCACAACTCTTCTCCAGCCGTGCATGTAACATCAATTGTTTGCCGTCGTAGCATTGCCGTCTTCTTCGTTTACCAACGAGTAATTTCACAAGCCTTTTGTTTCTTCCTCTCGCTAAAATTAAGATGTCCGAATCCATAGAATAAAACAGGGCTCGTTTCTTTACGGTAACTCCTAAGCTACATACCGCAATTTTTGTGATCCGTATGCGGTGGAGCAAATTGGAGTCACACCTCAGAACGTACATCGGACAGTGACGGCTGAGTTGCTACCGGGCGTCAGGTCAATTCTAATTCCCTTTGTCGTTGCTTCGCCACCCGAACAACAACGATTAAAGATATGGCTCCCACAACCATTAATTAATCTCCCCTCATAACTTCGATCCATTCCTTTCCTGCTTGTCTCTATTTATATATAGAGAGAGAGAGCGCGCGCGTGAGGAAGAGGTGGCGCCACAATACTACAACACAGCCTCATGATCATGCCGACGGCCTCCGAGCTGATTCGCCACCACCATGCGCACCCCCTCGACTTCGAGTCGGTCCGCGAAGTCCCGGACTCGCACGCGTGGCCGGACCTCCACGACCACCCTACCGCCTCCGCGCAGGGGGCGGTCGTCCCCGTCATCGACCTCTCCGCCACCGCCACCAACGTGCTCGAACAGCTGGCGCGAGCCTGCGAGTCCTGGGGCGCGTTCCAGGTCACCGGCCACGGGGTCCCCCCGGGTCTCCTCCGGCGCGTCGAGGCCGCCGCCCGCGGCGTCTTCGCCCTCCCCACCAACCGGAAGCTCGAGGCGGCGCGCCCCGCCGACGGCGTCTCCGGCTACGGCCGTGCCCGCATCTCCTGCTTCTTCCCCAAGCTGATGTGGTCCGAGGGCTTCACCATCGCCGGCTCCCCGGTCGACCACGCTCGCACGCTCTGGCCCGACGACGACGCCCTCGCCTTCTGGTACGTGTATGACGCTCGTGTGCCGACGCCACACGTGCTGGACCACCTTCCCCGACCGTCTAACGCAGCTGAAAAGCCCTGTTGTGACACTACATGCAGTGACGTAATAGAAGAGTACAAGGAAGAGATGAAGCAGCTTGCACGGAAATTGATGCGGATGATGCTCATGTCATTGGGCCTGACGGAGGCGGAGGCGGAGGCGGAGACGGAGACGGGCTGGATCGGGCCGGGCGATGAGGCCGGCGGCATGTCGGCCGTGCTACAGTTGAACTCTTACCCGGTGTGCCCCGACCCCGACCGGGCCATGGGGATGGCGGCGCACACGGACTCGACCTTACTCACCCTCCTCTTCCAGAGCAACACCAGCGGCCTCCAGGTTTTGCAGGTCGTTGGGGACACTGGTCGGGACCGGGCGGCACGGTGGGTGACGGTGCCGCCGATGCCCGGCGCGCTCATCGTGAACGTGGGAGATTTGTTTCAGATACTATCGAACGGACGATACAGGAGCGTCATCCACCGGGCCGTCGTCAACCGGACGAGCCACCGTGTGTCGGTGGCGTACATGTGCGGCCCGCCGGCCGCTTCCAAGGTGGAGCCCATCGTAAAGCTAGTGGGACCAGGAAGTGGTCCGGTCTACCGGCCCGTGACGTGGCCCGAGTACTTGAGCGTGAAGGGAAAGCTCTTTGACAAGGCGCTCGCGTCGGTAATGCGTACAGAAGTGTCTTTGGAACACACATGATGGGTACACATGCTTGTTCCTATGCTATACCGTATCTTACCAACCCCAAAGGAGTCGTCCATCACAGGGTGAGGAAATATATGGTGTGACAACGAATATGATGTATAATATTATCTTCAACTTTGATAATAGTTATTATAACAGTTGTATATGCTCTTTTGTTGCGTAAAATATGGGGCAACTTAATCCCCATTATTCATTTCATGAATATTTATTTTATAGTGGGACAGTGCTTTACTTAGAAATTTTAGGTAATACTGTAAGCTCCTTGGACATGCCACTGCAGAATATGCTAACCTGTCATGTCAGCGTGGCACATAATGCCAAATAAAAGGCATAAGCCCTTTCTCCAGAAAGGAGAAAGAAAAACTCGATCAAGTACTTGCTCGACGACAGACTTACTATTCCCTCAACTGTTTATATATGATGCTAAAGCTGTTGACAGAGAAACGAAAGTATGGTGAGGCAAAATGCAGAAGAAAGAGCGTCTGAACCCGTTCCTCGTCCCCGCAAGACTCGAAGAAGGAGAAGAAGAAGAAGAGGACATATGTTGCATGACGAATGAACTAAGACGCATCTTTCCACTTCTTTTCTGCGATCCTCACTCTCCTGCCTAAGATTGTTCAGAGAACAACGGTCATACAAAAAATAAGAGGAGGAGATCCAGAGAGACCCAATGGAGTTATCAAGCTTATCATTCATGTACTGCTGCGCTTTAAGCTATGATGGGATTTTTGTTCCGTTGCTGTCACCAGCCATCCCACCAAAAAGTGCTCGGATGGATTCCTCCATCTCTTTCTTGGCATAATTATGAGGCAATTGTCTTCTCATCATATCCCTTCTTCTCCTCAGCGTCAGGGACCACATGAAAGTTAAACTGTGTCGGCTCATTGGTGATTTAGCTGGTAAGCTTTGTTCCGGTCTCACTTCCGGCACCTAATCACCGGTCACCACATTTTCCTGCACTGTGGTCGGCACAGATAGCAGACTCCATCAAGGGACACCCTCCCTCCCGGCCCCTTCTTTCATTGTGCTGATGCATTAGTTTGACTCGATCTTTGGGGATTAAACAGCTAACCAATCAGTGATTACCGACATGCTTGTCGACACCACGCAATCAGTGATTAAACAGCTATCGATCTTTTTCACGAGTCTGCTCATGCAGCTGCCAAAGCCGATTTCTGTAGCACGGGCGATCTGAAATCAGGTGCAGTTATTTTCTGCTGCTGCTCTTTTCTCCTTCGAGGATGGAGCAAGTCTGTGCATGATGCTGTTCGTATCTCGTGCCCTTGTAGTGCATCCTAAAGCCATGGCTCGCCGATCAGCCATGTTCACCAGGCCTTCCCTATTCAGGGATCAATGGCCGACCAATCTGATATACTAGCACTCATCTACTGTGATCATGAAAGCCAATACTAGCTGCAGTTGGATACGTCTCGATTGCCGGTGAGAGTGCAAGTTATCGGCATCGTCTGGATGAGGATCGGTTGACTTCATCACCTAGTTACTGCAATTGGTAGGAACTTTCTACTAGATAAGATTCCTTCATTGTAAGATTTGGGTTTATCTTGTTGCCCATTAAGCTGGAAGACTGCATTATTGTACCATATTTTGGCGACACAAGAACGTTGTCCATCAGTATGCCTTTGCGATCGCCATGTTTATTAAGCTTGGATAAGGATAGAATGCAATAGTCGTTCCTATTACGGATGATGGTTTCATGGCATTCCAGAGGCAAGTCTGCCACTTCAATCAGTCACACTATGATATGAACAATACCTAGCAGACTGTAAGGCCCATCATCTTAATAATTGGTGGGTTGGAGAGTGGGCCAACATATTATTCGAACCTAATAAGCCAATGTTCTAAAGAGTAAAACATGTAGAGAAAAAACACCCTGTAATTTCTTTCATAAAAATTATATTTAAGTGCCTTTAAGATGGCAAATTAATCGACGGGGGGGGGGGGGGGTGATGATGCAGCATCGGCTCGTCTCCGAGGATGCAAAACACCGAGCGTGGGAGATCAGCCTGCAGTACTCCCTGAGCGAAATTATTCGTTCTCTGTGATGAGTGGTTTGGATCAACTTAATCTGATGAGCAAGTTGATAGATTAATTTATCCCTCGAATTTAAATCGTGATATTATATCTTAAATTTTAATTCATATGATTTTTTTTAATTTTTTTGAATTAAACGTAAGATCTTATGATAAATTCTTAAGATCTTTACCAACTAAATTAGCTGATATCTTTACCAAACGTATGCTTGGAGGAAGGCCACCTTCCCCTCGGTCTATTCGATCATTTATGTGGTCGCCGAGCATCATATTTAGTCCACAAAGCTGTAGCGAACAGTCGTACTCTTCTAAAACAAAAGCAATTTAGTACTTTTATCCCGTCGCATATTTTTTTGGAGCTTGCGTGACCACGTACGAATAATAATATGCAGACGTGACAGGAGAATCTGCATTAAAGATATTGGATAAAGGAAACACGCATAAAGTAATTCAGCAAAACGACAGAGTTTTATTCGAGAAACACGGAAACGAGAAAGGAAAGTTCAGGCCTTGATCGACTTGATCGACGAGGAGATCAGGCTCCCACTTGATCGACTTGTACCTCGCAGTACGCCTTGAGCGAATCGTCCGATTTCATGCCTTCCTCCGAGTGGCGGAAGTTCACAAAGCTGAGATAGCCGAAAGGCTTGTAGATCAAGGGGTGCTCTTCGTCGACCAGCTCCTCGGGAACTTGCACCATCACGTCGTCCTTTGGGTGGGACCCAAAGATTACGGAATACCTAGTCTCCCCGCCGCCGACCAAGACACGATGCAGTTTAGCATTAAGTCTTCCATTGCTCCAGCCCTGAGGAACACATGAAAAGCCGTCACAAGTTGTGTCCTTCCTTCGCCGGCCGGCCGGCTGTATGAGACTAGAGCTGGAAAGGATTACGAGTCGAGTGCATGCACCTCACCTGCAGTGCTTGTCCAATCAATACCGTATACGAATTGGGGGATTGAGGCACCGTGAGCCACTCGCCATCCGCGGTTAGCACTTGGAGGCCTGCGACCTTGTGCTGCACGACTAGGGTGACTGTGGTTTCATCGACATGGGGCGGCAGCACGACCGTCGCCTCCTGAGATGTGAGAGCGCCGTACTTGGCCATCCGGAGGCTGAACGTGAGCTCACTGTTCTGGCGGTCCAAGTGCTTGACCACGCCCAAGCTCTCCAGGAGCATCCTCCGCACCATCTTCTCCAGCTCGCTCAGCTGCCTTACGAAGGAGTTCACTGTGTCGCTGGTCGATGGAAAGGAACACAAAGGGGAGGGGTCAAACAAGAGTAGAAAACATGTGTATCTGCTTTGATGATCTGGAAGTAAATCGATCATTGGGTGTGTGGTCGGACCAAAAGCTCGGGTTTCCCTCGGGCCACATGAGCTCGGTAAAGCTCCGAGTGCCTTCGACCAGGTGCGCGTCGAAGACCGACAGGGCCTCGTAATCCAAGCCCGGGAACTGGCCGATGTAGCCGTGGTGCGGCTTGTTCGACGTGTTGCGCATCTTCACGTCCGCGGGGAGAGCGAAGAGCTCCTTCACGGTGCGCCCGAAGAGCGCCTCCCGAAGCTCGGGGGCGACTCCATCGTACACGGCCTCGAACCAGTTTTCCTCATTCGCCACCACCTCCATCATCTGCGCCCGCACCCGCTCCCATTCCGGAGTTCCTGCCTTCTCCAGGGACAGCCCGGTGAAGTCCAGCTTGTGGTGGAAGGTCTCGGTGGACATGGCGTCTTTCTCCTTCTCTTCCTCCGATTCTGCTGCGATGCTGCAGTCCCCAGAGAAGATGCTGATATTACGGATCATTTGATAAATATCATTTCGTTATTTGCACGGGTTGACCCAAATAAAAAAAGAGGGGACAGCTCAGAGGATCAACACCTAATCCGATCTTCTCGTCTACCTTATTCCACAAGTTCTCTTCGGTTAATTCCACCATGTCATGTCCCTTAAGACGACGAGCAATATCTTCTCATCTATTTATTAGCATAGGAAATCGAACAAATTTTCTCCGAATATAAGGAAATTAGACACAATTCAATTTGTTAAAAAGACATGATTCTATTCGTCGGATTTGTACATCTCCCATGTGATTTTGAGATCTGGAGCTTCAATTATTTGGCATCGTCGTCGGCGACTCGTTCCGATCCATGTGATCGTGAGCTCCATAACGAGAGGTTCGAGGACAGCCCGTGAGAGGAAAAAAAATCGTTGAAAGCCAAACCCGAGCAAAACGTGAGACACTTGTTTGCTATATATAATGTCCGCGTGACCCATCTGATCACCCAACACCTTATCTCGTGATTCCAGGAAAACAAATAAAAGTCAACGAGTTTATTTGTTTATGGTGAGTCAAATAAACCAAATTAGAATCAATAAATTCCCAAACCAATTGAAAAAATAATCTAATAATTATTTCTATCATATTGTTTCCACTGCCCGTGAACGTTTATTGTGAGTCTAATATTCTCTATGGTGCTACACTTATACTGAATTGTGGTACATGCGAGACTAGCGACGAAACTCGATGAGAAATTTGTAGAATGAAGATGTGTTTAATACATGGAGATCGTCGAGACTGATGAGTCTGTCTAATTGGTTCTCTGTCGAAAATGTAAGTCCCTTTTGGTTATTCCTTTTGGCGATGTGGAGAGCAGGTATTATGAGCAGGACGAAGGAAGTTATAGAAAGAAATGATTCGCTATGAGCGACTTAGTCTTTAAGCAATGAAACTTGGTTTGGGAGCTAGGTGATCTCCTATATTGGGTAGCCTTCTGGTTGCATCTCCGGGCTACTTCGATGATCCTGCATAACAGGCCTAAGTCGACGTGCCTTGGCTTAACCCTTCTCATGCTTAAATAAGGAAAACAAAGGAGGAGGGAGACAATAATATCAGTAATGTAATTAAGAGAGTAAAGAGTCTCTTTTGTCTGCTTGTCCCGGCTTAGCCTGGGACATGACTTTTATACGTGGGAGCTAGGAAGAGCAAATAGGCCTTCATCAATACCCACCCCCCCCCCCCCTTTACCCAACGTGGTATAAACATTTAATGTTTACAGCTTGCCCATGTGTATTCCCATAAGCAACATCTGTGGATTATCAGGATGACACCTCCAATCAAACTTGCTTGCTTCTTTGGGTTAGACAATATGTGATCCTCTTGTCATTCGTTTGAAAGGGAAGGCTGTTGAGGCTTGATCATGTTACCGACCATTAATGTATAGCCATATTTATTTTATTGACTATGAGATTGGTTCATATAAACTCACTATGAGAAGGAAGAGCAGGTAACATGATCGATAAGAAATCGTTCATGTAAACTCACTTTGAGAAGGAAGGATAGGTAACATGACCGATCGTAGGGAGTAGATGCTTTTGTACCTCTAGGTATTACTTATGTGGTAAAAAGAATTGAGGGTATTATGATTTATCCCTATCAGTTATATTTAATCCTAGAATTAAAATGAAAACATACGAAATTAGACAG